TTCATTCTGGCAAGATTCACGTGCACTGAGGCACAGTGAAGGTTGTTTAGTTTCAATCAGCACAAACGATGAAGCTAAACAATTGTGGCATTCACTAATAATTTCCTACTATTTTTGAAATAGTAGGAAATATGATAAGTAACATGAACCTAGTATGGATTCAGAACCATTGATCCATCAGTCTTTTTTACTTTGATTAGCAGCTCTTCCTATTTTTTTTTTTAAATCCTATCTTAATATCCAGGACTCTTTTAAATATATCAGAAATGGAACCTAAAATTATGGTGTATATGGTTTAGCATTAATTTATAACAATATTTATTTTTAATTGTTTCATGCTAATAAGATCTCATTGTTTCTTTTTTCTTGTCAGTATTTACTGCAGAATATGGCTTTCTATGCAGTATAGCAGAAGTTAATGTTTCCCATAACAATGAGGTTGCTTTAAAGAGATGTTGCCATAAGAGAGTAAAAGTATGTACAGATCTTTAACTGGCTGAGCATATGCCAACATTAATAAAAGAAAAGCATATTTCCAGGGGCCAGATACATCACATGCAAACCATACCCACCCCAGTTCCGCAGAGGCAAAAAATGTCACAATACATCAATATGTGTCATGTGACACGATCGAGTTTGACACCTTGCTCTAATGGAATTAGTGTGTGGTCATTTCTTAGTTGTCCAATGTTCAGAGAAACTCCATGGACTGTCTTATAATGCCTATAAAAACCTAAATTTTGTATTCAAACTTTGTTGCTATTTAAAGAAAGGTGAAGTAAAGTTGGACTCTTTTGTCAAATAAGATGAAGTTTGAGAAGCTGATGTATTTCTGCCTTTTCTTGTTTCTTCTGCCCTCATTTACAGGGATCATAATAAAGACTGTCTTTGGGACAATAAGAATGTGTGGGAGAGACTTGTACACAATACATTTCTGGGCTACTGTTTTGTCTCTTTTTTCTGAAGGTATTTTTTTCTGTTATTTACTTAATTCCAGTATCAAAATTAGGAACCGAGGTGTATTTGGAACAACAGACTGACAGGAAATAATTAACTGGCAGACCTGTGAATATCACGGGAAGATCAGTGTTCTACGTAACAGCTGTAGCATGAATTTCTTACCCAACAGCAGGCTACCTCCTTTTCTCTCTTCCTGTTGCTTTCCCCACAGTTTCTTCATCTGTTCCCTTTGCTGCATTAGCAGTTTCCAATCTTTGGCAAATTTTACTTCCCTCCTTAAAGGGTGCAAGTTGTTCTCAGGAATGCAATCAAAAGTTCTACACTTTGAAGGACTGCAATACATAGTTCACAGAGATGTTAGTGGAAAAAGAGATACAAAAAGATAATTGGTAGTAGTAGAGAAAGGAGAATGTTTCCAGAAAGAAGACTAACTGAATAAACAAAAATGATTTTAAGAGTGCAAGGAAGGATTTAATTACAGTATGATCAATCTGATAAACTGGAACTGTATGTAAGGGACCCAAACCAAAGAATATTTGGGGGAAAAATAAAAGAATGTAACTTTACCCTTATTTACATTTTCTTGTGAAACCTGCTTTTAAAGCATTGCTGTAGAAATGCTCAGTTAAAGTCATTCTTCAACTCTCAAATATGTTTAATCTTAAATTACAGTATTTTTAGGTACTGAGCAAAGAGCATATTAGAGTATACTAAACACTTATTTGTAGAAAGATGCTTAGCCCATGAAGAGATGATACTTTTTCTCCTTTTCAGGGGGTCTCTCTTGAATCTTTAAGACACGCTTTACATCTAATGGCCTGGCATTAAAAATAAAAAGCAACTGATATTTAGATCTGAGGGCCAAATTTCATAGATCAGTGAAGATCACTAGATGTACTTGGGCTAATCTTGATTTTGCTTTCTTACATGATTCTTTTAAGAATAAATTGAAAAATGTCCTCTAATTCCTTAAGATGTCAGCTACATTTTCAAAACAAAATTAAAAGAATCTAAAAAAAAATAAAGCAGATTGGAGCAGAGTTTTATGGCATTAAAGCAAAGTTGTGTTTTTATATTTCTGTCTTTTAAACTTCATGTCATTCCCTTTTCAAATTTCTGGATCATTCAGTGGAAGCATTTGTAATATTTCTTTTTCTCACTTGGATGGGAAAAAAGAGATGAGGGGAAGGATTTGTCACAAATCTCTCAGTACTAAACAACGGGCCTGACCTGTAGTGTTAATATTTCACAAATGTGTAAGTAGGGAAGAGAACTTTCCCAGGAACTCATGGGATCAAAGGTCAGATAGTCAACTTAAAGGTACTGATAAGTTATGGGTACAAGTAACTTATGCATTTTTGCAAACTTGTTGCAACATGATAATTTATACTTGTATTTTGATTTCAGGATACTGCCATACAAAGGAAAATTACTCAGGAAATATTTGTTAAAATAGGAAAGTACTTAGCATCTAAAAATAAATAGCTAGATATGGTCACTCTCAACACACATAAAAAGATTGTCTCTGAATGGAATTTATGACAAAATGTAGCATGTAGAGTATTAACTCTATTGTCTACTATACTCTACTATACTAACTCTACTATCTTATACCCATTTTTTCTTAATTAAAGATAATTTGAGCCAGTATGTTGTTGTAGGCTGGAAACCAAGGAAACTGTGAGTTCTACTCCTGCCTTAGACAGAAAATCTGCTGAGTGACCTTGGACCAGTCACTTCTTCTCATCCCTAGGAAGGAGGCAATGGCAACCACTTCTGAAAAACCTGGGCAAGAAAGCTACAAGGATTTGTCCAGGCAGAGTCCGAAAACCAAACACAATTGAATGAATAAGATTGACAAAACCAGAAATCCAGAATTCAAAGCAGCATCATTAAAAATACAGAAACTATGGGTTTGAAATAAATTTGCAATGGGGAGTACAGATAAATTCCAATAATCTTTTAATCTGGAATTCTCCTTGTCTTCCCAGTACTGTCAGCACGTGGTCAGTCCTTGTTAAGATGGCTTTGTTCTTCATGCCTATTCGTTAGGATTATGCTTCTTAAACATTTTGATTGAATGATTATGATTCAGCAATGCTTAAGATTACCTTGAATTTGTTGATATCTCTCTGAGAACTTAGATGGAACTTCATCCACTTCGTACATATTAGGAATATATACAGCAACTATGTTTCTTTTTCTATTATTTACACCTAGGATTTTATCAAGCTACCGGTGTGTTATATTGCTTCATGTGCAATTTTTCTTATTACCAATAAAAGAACCAATAGATTGACTTTGCTTTAGGTTTTTAATAGGCTGTTATAGGCTTGTCTCTAGCCCTGTGGTGGCGAACCTATGGCATGCTTGACATAGTTGGCACACACAGCCCTCTCCATGGGCATGCATGCCATTGCCCCAGCTTAGCTCCACCGTGCAAGTGCGCGTGTTTCCCGCTGGCCAGCTGGCCTTCAGGTTTCTGCTGCACATGGGCAGGGGCGCATGCGTGGGGATGCACATGCCTGCGCAGGGCATGCACGATGCATTTTGGGTATGCTCATGTTTGCGCTTTGCGCACTCATGGCAAAAAAGTTCGCCATCACTGCTCTAGCATTTTCCTCTTTCTAGAACTATGCTGAAATGATAGCTATGGAACCAGGGGTGGGATCCGACTGGTGTAACTACCGCTTCGGTGATTTGGCGACTTGCACGCTGCACGCGCGTGTGGAGCATCGTCAGCTATGCTGCCCAAACAGCGGAGCAGCGCAGCACTATTTTCCTGCTTTTTCAACTGCAGCTGTGCTGCGCAAAGCAGCTGAGGTTGAAAAAGCAGGAAATAAAAGTCAGGTAAGAGCCCGGGCAGGCGGGTGGGCCAAACAGCAGCAGACATAGAACCGTTTCTACCGTGTTTCTCATATAATAAGGCCGGGTCTTATTTTTTTTTGAGCCCTGAAAAAATGGCTAGGCCGTCTTTTCGGGGGTGACTTAATTCCCCCCCCCTTGCATCTTCGGGCGGGCGGGCGGCGATGGCTTGGATGTTGACCTCGGCGTTGGTGGGGTACTTCGTATTGGGGTCAACGAAGGCAGCACCATATCCGGGTGTGCAACAAAAGAACTTCCTAACGGCAAGCCCCCCCACCATTCCCCCCGCATTTTGCATGTTTTAATATAGGGCTTAATTTGGGGGGAAGGGCTTAATTTCATTTCATGCCTATAAAACATGCTGGGACTTCCTATTGGGGGAGGCCATATTGTTGGAGAAACAGGGTATGTCTGCTGCATTTCAGAGCTACCGGTTCTACAGAGCTGGACAGAACCGGGAGAATCCCACCCCATTCCTTCATTTTGCCAGGAGCACAAAGCGGTCGCTACGGTACCAGGTACCAATCTGCAAGAGCCTTCTGATTTTTCCAAATAAATAATAAAAACAATGTTAGGAAATCATGACACTTAACATGATTTTTATGATTTTTTTTTCTTGATTTCAGTAAACATTCAGGATGCATTCTCTCAAGCAATATACACTTTACCAATTTCTAAAACCTCAGTTAAATCCCAGGACATTAATCATGAGAAGTTTAAATTTAGAAGGGACGAACATACAGGAAATGTAAATACAAAACATAGCGATCTTTCACTCACCTTTCAACTTTATAAACTATTACGTTTATAAAGCATATTGTAAAAATTATGGAACATAGATGATCATCATTGTGTAAATGTAATATATGTCAGATCCTGAAAATAAAGCAGAAATCCCTTTTATTTAGATACAATAACTGCTATATATAAATATTAGTTTTCAGGGTTATATGCAAAGTGAAAATAAAAACCTTATGTGAAACCTTGGGCTAAACACCCAAATGATTTTGTCTGTTTAAAGATATCACACAAATCTCTTTGGGGACAATGTTTTATTATTTATATGCTGCTGCCAAGGTGGAAAGATCCCCGCAAATTCATATAGGTTTGACTATGTGAATACATATGACAGCATTTTTGTCTAATCTTTCCATTGTTTTGTTTTGTCCCAACAGGAAAATATGGGATGTATAAAATCCAAACAAAAAGACAATCTACATGGAGATGGGCTAGATGTGAAGAACAAATCAGTACGTAAAACTGAACGAACTATTTATGTGAGGGATCCAACGTCCAATAAACAGCAAAGGCCAGTAAGTAGATAGTTTCAGGGAAGAATTCCAACACTGAGATTGCAGTTTGACTGGCATATCTTAAGTGTTTATTTCATTAAAACAGCCAACACAACACATAACCAGAATGAAAATTACATTTTCATGGACTGCAGTTTAATTTTGTGGCAGTGGATTCATTAGCCCATAAAGAATGTACCTGAAATCCAGAACCTTATGTCTTTGAGTCCGCAGTTCCAACTAAGAGCAGTTTAAATATATAGCCTTGCTTTTATAGATCACTAAGTAGTGTTAGTTTCACTGTAGAATCTTGGAAATACATTACTTTTCTTTAAAAAAAAAAAACCTCTTTTTTAACACATTCACGAACTGAAGAAGCCCCTTGGATGAGAAGCAAACATCTTCAAGGAAAAACAAAGAAAATCCTGTTGCTTTTTGAAAAAAAGCATCTTTGGGACAACTATGACCTGGATGATTCTCCATAGACTGCAGGTTCGGAGTAAATGCCTCCCAATGCAGCTACAGAGGGGGAAGTGGTAGAAGACACTGACTGCAAGCACAGTGAAAGTATTTATTCTTGTAGGAAATAAACTACAGGTAGTCCTTGACTTACAAAAGTTCATTTAGGAGCTGTTCAAAGTTACAACAGCACTGAAAAAGTGACTTACGACTGTATTTCAGAGTTACGACCTTTGCAGCATGGCCATGATCACATGGTCAAAATTCGGACACTTGGCAACTGGTTCATATTTATGACCATTGCAGTGTCCCAGGGTCATGTGATCACCTTTGAGACTTTCTGACAAGCAGAGTCGATGGGGAAGCCAGATTCCCTTAACAACCAGGTTAGTAACTTATCAACTGCAGTGATTCACTTAACAACTGAGGCAAGAAAGGTCATAAAATAGGGCAAAACTCACTTAAATGTTTCACTTAACAGACATTTTGGGCTCAATTGTGGACATAAGTCGAGGACTACCTGTATTAAACTAAGATGGGCCTTGGCCTAGTATTAATGCTAATTCTTTTGCAGAGCGCTGCATGCAAAGTCTCTGTCTAAGGAGCTTTGCAGGTTTTTTTTTAAAGTATTAATTTTTTTACCATCTTCAGGGTTCAAAAATATTTTTTAAACTATGCAGTCTTAAAAGGTTACAGAGATACTGTATTAATTCTCATAAAACATATGCTAAGAGGAGGATGGGCTTTCCATTTTCAAGATGGATGCCTTCATAAAATACTTTTTTTTATTTAATAAAAATTGCTACAGATAAGAAAGATAAATTGCAACAGAAACCTATGTGTAAGAAAGTCTTAAAGCCAAAACTGAATATTATTGTTCTTTTTAAAGTTTGGGAACCAAGAACTAGATAATGCACCTGGCAATTGTATCCATTACAGGATAACTGTTTTTTAGTTATCATATGGTAAGAATACCAGCTGGAGTTACATACTGTGCTAAAGCTTGCCATGCATGACTTTACTCATTTGAGGTTGTTTTTAATGAAGAAGAATAACTAATAGAATACAAAGTATTGCCTTAAAGAAAACCTGCATTTCAATGAACAGGTACAGAACATTATTTAAAAATTGAATGGCACTTTATTGTATTACCTGCCCCAAAATAATATGACAAAGATGAGATGATAGACAATAGGAATGTACAGCAATCTGGATTTTAAAGAGAAAATAAAATTTTTGATGCACCAAGTTGCTCATTGTGCCTTTGATGGAAATCCTTTTAGAAGCTGAACTTTTTCTAATCTTCCTTCCAACTCCAGGAAAAGATGCATTTGAATTAAGGAAGTGACAGTACATGGAATGTCTGAGTCCACACTTTCTCTAAATCACCTTTTTATTCAAATCTCAATTATTCCACAGCCCTATGGAAAAGGGTCTCAGGAAGCAGTGGAGGAAAGCAGCTTACCATTTGATAAATGGGGCTTCTATTCCATTTACTGCCCATCGCAGTAGCCATTTGGTACCCAAGATTTAAAATCTGCCTTCATAACTCCTAAAGTGTCCACCAACTGCAAGATGACTGCATTAACTATAATTATACTTTAGATTAATACAATATATAATTTTAGTCCTTCTAGATTATTTAACAAAACATGTTTTGTGTGAATTCAGCCTAGGCAACTACAGACAATTCTTCTTACAAGTTACACGAGCTGCTAACATGATAAGGAGTAGCATTGCTGATGATTAGCATTTCAATTCAGCAGGATTTCAGAATTGGCTGGATTTCACCAGTTCCCCCTTTTAAAAAAAGCAAGGCTATGCTCCATTTAATTTTCTTACAGTGTTGTGGGCTGATTGGAACATCACTGAAAATGTTAGCTACTGGATTGCCTTCTGTCAGAATAACAGTTGTAACTCAAGTGATCTAGGAGGGGGCCACTGTGCCAAGAATCCCTTAATATATCAACTTTACTCTACTTACTGGATAGTTGAAAAAACTTTTGAAGAATAATCGACAATTATCTAGTGATATATTCACAAACCACATTTTAAAATGGAAAAGCATTCTATTAAAATAAATGTATATATAAAAATATAATTTTGACAAATAAGTAAATTTGTTTTTACCAAAAGTAGATCAATTTGGTTTTCAGAAAACCCACAAAATACTGATATTCCAGCCAAAATGGTCAATTGTGCCATAAATATTTTTAGCAATAGCCTAGTATTGCAGAATGTCCAACAATTTTAAATAACCTAAAAATGCATGCTGACTTTGAATAAATTTTATTCATTGTCCAGTGGAACAGATTAGGTTGTATACAAGTCCTTGTTGACATGGAATTCATTTTTATAGGCATATTGAACACTTTCTAATTGTTGTTCTATAAATAGACATCCACCCAGTTGGCTCTTGCAAATTTTTTCCAGGAATGTTTTTATAAATCTATATAGCATTGAAGCTTATAGAAGAACCGTGGTGGTTCAGGTAAAAGAGCAATCATTTAGTTTCCAAAATGGCTTTATTAGGACAGGAATTTCCTGATAAATTTGTATGTGTGGATATTTCAAACCTAAGTGCAGATATTTTATTTTACAACCCAAAATAAAATAATCAGCATAAGAAAAACCCTATAGGATCTGTATTTTAAATTAAAATAAGTTTGATGATATCAAATAACGTATTATTTTGTTTTAGGGAAATGAAGATATTCTTTTGCCAGGTCAAAGGTTCTATCATGAAGGTATGTTTATAGAAAATCATTGATTGCTACAACAAATTGCTATTGTTTGAGTGTAATAAATGAGTAAGAATATATTTATTGCATTTCTCAATTAGATGAGGAGAAAGAACATGGGGACATTGTGATAGCCTTATATATTTATGAAGGCATGCATGAAGATGACTTGTCCTTTAAAAAAGGAGAAAAAATGAGAATTCTGGAGGAGTAAGTATAAGTATAGAAGTCTTGTCCTGATTTTATTTACTTCTGTGTAATCATGAGGTTAGGGGGTATGCTCAGCAATTAAACTGGCCATTTTAATTCTAGTAGATCAAACCTGGTTCATGTTATAAAACTAATGAAGGTAGCATTGTGCTGGGTAAAAACTGGGAAGGACTGTATTTATTGGCCATGAAGTTCACAAGATATGGATTGTTATTCAACTTAACCTGTTCTGACCAGTGGCCAATTGGAAAGGTATAATAAAAGGACTATTGGACAACCCTGTGTATACTTTCAAATTCAGTCTCCAGGATCTCTTATTGAAGAATTGATTAGAAGTTCAGAAGCAGATGTCCTGCAGGTTTTAAAGGGAGTTTTTGTTCCCATTTATCCCATTTTGTTCCCATTAACATGTTTGTAAATGTATAATACTAAAACATACATATACTGTATCTATATAGCCATAGACATTAATAGCTGTGTAATATTTCTTTCCATTAAAAAGTCACATGCTTTTTCTTTGTCCATGAAATATTGCTTTAATCATCAATAACTGAATTTAAACATTCTTGGGATAATCTATCCGACAAAGTTTTTTTTTTAAGTTAAAAAAATCAAAAACATTAAAGGGCAGATTCGAATAATCCCCTGGGTATTTTTCTGCCATCAGTTTTCTATGTTTAATAAAAACTATCAATCTCTAGCTATTGCGATAAAAAAACAAATCACTTTCTATGCAAATGCAAATACAGAAATTAATGCTGACCTATATATTTATTAAATTATGCAGTCATCTAAACCTGTGTGATAAGTAATACTAGTTTTGGAAGTGAATTGCAGGATTTAATATGCATGAGGTCTCAAATCAGTTTTGATTCTTAACATAGTTAACAGGTAATATGTTGGGCATACTTTGGCAGCATACTAAACCATTTACCTTTAGCTGTGAAAGGAACAGAAGTGCTTGGATTCACTGGCTTAGCTTTCTACCCAGCCTGTCTGAGAAAGTTATTATGGGCAGATGAAGATGTCTTTCTTTATCAAATTTATACATCTGCACATTTCACCAAAGGAGACTATGGGTGGTGCACAACAAATGGATAAAACCACATATAAAAACCATAGATGTAAAAAGATACAAAAATCACATTTACAGTAACCTTATAAAAACAGAGGTACAGGCTTTTGGCAAAGAGGGAATAAAAACAACCAGCTCAAAATTAAATCACCTAAGAATGGGTCCAGTTCCCTGGTATCGTAGTGTGCCTTACCATCAGAGAATGAGGTTACTTCTGGCATTGAACAAAATATACTTTGAACAGATAATGCTCATCTTACAACCACTTACTTAACAAGGATTTGAAGTTACAACAATACCCAGAAAAGCTATTTACCACCCATTTCCCAAGTTGTGGTAAGCAGACATATTCCCATGGTCCATGATCATCAATATGACCATGTGCACATCCTGCAGTCACATGACTGTGATTTGTGACATTTTTTTGCTGATTTTCTCATTCCAATTGCATCATTCATTTAACCACCACCACAAGAAATGTTGAAAAATTGGAGATCTGGTCACATGACGCCTAAATTTATGACCACAACAACTTACGACAGTAATTCCGGCTTATAAGTTGAGAACTACCTGTGATTTATTTACATCTACAGTTAAACAAAGCAAATAGTGTGTTAGGATAAAAAGCCCCAAATGAGGCAACTATTTCAATGAATGTGATTCATGCCAAACCATTAATCCTGGATTAGTATGATGTCTGAAAATAGTTATTATTTCCTTCAGTTGAAATGTAAGCTGCTTTGAATGCTACTTTGAATGTTGATCAGTAAAGTCTTCTTTACAAAAATAACAGTGATTATTTTACTCTTTTTTTTTAGACATGGTGAATGGTGGAGGGCTAAGTCCCTTGTAACGAAAAAAGAAGGATTTATCCCAAGCAATTATGTTGCAAAAGTCAATACTTTAGAAACAGAAGAGTAGGTTTCTTATCTTTTAAGTATTTGATTTCCTTTGCTTTTTTTCTCATGTTTGGGTAACAATAAAATATTTTTTTAAATAATACTTTCAGATGGTTCTTTAAAGACATAACCAGAAAAGATGCAGAAAGGCAACTTCTAGCTCCAGGAAATTCTCCTGGAGCATTCCTGATCAGAGAGAGTGAAACATTAAAAGGTAAGTTTTCTGGATTTCATTGGATCTGAAAATAAATTCAATTTTCTGTCTCTTACATGTTTGTGACACAAACTTTTGAATAAGCTTCTGTATGATCAAATATATTTGCAACATCTATGACAAAAAAAATCTTTCTTCCAATCAACAAACCAGAATCTAACAGACTTTCCTACTTTTTCTAGATTCCTTCTAAAGAGAATTATTGACCAGAAATAAGATTTTCGGGTTATCTTTAATATACATTGCTATTTAAATTGATGTTTTCTTCCTTTGATTTACATTGCTGCCCAACTTAACAAAAGAACTTATAGTTGGATAGTAGCATAAAAACAAAACAGGGAATACCAGAACAGAACAGCAAAACAATCAAGGTCAACAAATGCACAATCCATTAAAAAGATCAGGCCTAATGCCCAGTGAAAGCCAGGTTTTCAGGGCCTTAAAGGCTAGCAGACTTGTGGCCATCTAAAGCTTAAGAGGACTGTGACAGAGAAGGCATGGCAGCCGGATTCTGCCAGGTAATATAAGAAGGGACCTGAAACATGCCTACCTGCCAGATACCAAGAAATGAGAAGGAGGCACAGGTGTCTCATAAATAACATGGCCGTGTGCAATGGCACACAATGGTACATCAAGTTATACCCGTAATTATTCATACAATAAAAAATTTTCTAGGTAGAAGGCAGCTTTATATAGAGCATGTTGCATTAGTCCATATGAAAAGCGACTAAGACATGAGTGATTGTCCCCCAATCTGGAAATGTATGGAATTTAGTATCTGAAAGAGCCTCCTGGCCCTGACTGCTGTCTCCCGTTTCAGCAGAGCCAAGACCATAAAAGGATCCCCAAACTGTGCTCCAGTTCTGTCTGAGAGAACACAATTTTATCCAGAACTGAAGGAGGACAGAGGAAAGTCTGAGCGAAAACTGTTCTTTCCCATTCAGGGACTCCAGAGTTTCTAGAGATTGGGAAGGAACCTTAGCAATATGACTTGGTTGCTCTAGGTTGGGAGTTATATAACTGGATATGGTATTGATGATATCTGACCTAGTGGCTTTGTTGGCTGTTAAATAAGAATGGAGAGAGAGTACAACCTGAGGAACCCATAGAGAAAAAAATTGTTAAATTGCCCTCCATCTCCACCAGATGCCAGCTCAGCCATATGATTATGGTTTCCAGGTTTGTGTTGTATGATGAAAAGGAAAGTGTTTAAGGGGCAGAAATGATTAGGATTCTATTTTACAATCATCTGAGAGTCTTATTAAAGTCAAATTCTATCACTATTCAGCTATAACATAATACAATTGTTCAAATGTGTAAGAAATGCAGTTGGAATGAGTGATACTGTGAGAAAAATAGTTTATAAGATGATTAACTATAGTGGAAAAATAGAAACAGAGTCCCATGATTATTTTCCTTGTTCTGAATCATTGCTTGTTTGGAAAGAGTCAGAATTGTTCGCCCAGGAAAAATGTTGTTTTATTTTTTTAAAAAGAAACATTTTTAAACAAATGGGAATGCTAACAGAAGCCTGTTTTTTAAAAGTAAGTTTTGTTTTATTGCAATCTGTTTACTAAGCTTTAGAAAAATATCAATCTGATGGACCTAGTGTTTATTGTCTTACTGCGACAGTAGGTAGCAATGACTTTGGGAGATGGAGGAAGAACAATTCTCAGATATGAGGCAATTAGCATGCAGAAGGGAGATGGAAAGGCAAACATCTCAAAAGGGACCCTTCCTAATATTTTGGGTTTTGACAGCAATGGGGGAGAAACCTACTTTAAGACTTGCAATATTATATGAATACAACCTTACAATAACGTAGAAGTAGTACTTCTGGGTGGGCTCCTTGTCTGGACTACCTTACAAAGCTGACACAGTTTAACCTTTTCTTTATTAACATTGTTTATATGTTATTATTTTAAAGATAGCAACCAAATGGCAATTATTTTATGGTTTATTGTTGGTTTTGTTTTGTCCACAGGTAGTTATTCATTATCCATAAGAGACCATGATGGACAAAATGGTGATGTTGTTAAGCACTACAAAATCAGAAGCTTAGACAATGGAGGCTATTACATCTCTCCAAGAATTACTTTTCCCTGCATCAGTGATATGATCAAACATTATCAAAGTAAGTCAGCAGATTTTCTAAAGTACCTATAAAATACTAGCCAAGACGGAAAACATTTCTGCATTTCAAATTCAAATAGATTTTGACTTATAGGATAATTGTGTCAAGGGTGAGCATAGTATAAGTCCAGGTGAAATTTCAGGAGGGAGCAGATTGAAATATTCAAAAGGCATATATCAATGTGAAACCAAGATAAATGCAGCTTGAGGAATATCAGATTGGCTTGAAACAGAATACTTTTCAGATTATCAACATTGTAAATATTTGTATAACACTGTGGCAGTCTTGTGAACATATTTGCTGTGGGAAAGAAAAACCACAGTTGATATTAAAGGGAGTGCAATTTTGTTCATTCACAATAACATTTTATATAGATATCTTTGGCTCTTTCATTTCCCTTATGAAAGGTTGGATAAGTACACATAGTTCCAATGTAATTATCCCCATATAACTTTTTGCAGCTGCATCACAGGATCACACTAATCTTAACTGATAGTCAACTTGAGGATGAAAAACAAATGCCACAGAATCTGTGGCATTAAAATGTAATCCTGTCCTCTAGAAAGAAAATACAGGTATACAGGCTCTGAAAATGTATAATGATACAAATATAGGATGTTTGTTTCTTAAACAGAACAAGCGGATGGCTTATGCAGAAAGCTAGAGAAAGCATGTATTAGTCCTAAGCCACAGAAACCGTGGGATAAAGATGCCTGGGAAATTCCTCGAGATTCAATCAAATTAGTGAAAAAACTTGGAGCGGGTCAATTCGGAGAAGTTTGGATGGGTAAGGTACTCACTTGTATTATATAGACAATTTCTCATATGCTTATAACATGTAAATAGCAGGGAGTAAGTAGAAGAGGATAGAGGAACTATGGCCCCTGAGTCTTCCTCGTAATATCTATCATGGACATGATTACTGAGAAATGGGGATGCTATTTTCTGGCATCTTGAGGCAGGAAATACATGAGAACAGTATTATAAAGCTCTAAAATTGGCTTAACACGGCTTTGAAATATAAAATAATTTATAAAACCCTTACCCCAAACTAAAACAAATAGTCACCATACATAAAGCAAACCTTAGAACACTTGTCAACAATGATATCTGTTTCTCAACTGGGATAAGTTATTGATAAGCATTATTTTGCATTCAAAAGATGTACTACATTGCTGTGTGCTACATGTTTCTCTTCAGTGATACAGTGCAGGAAATGAACCAAATCAGAATGTTTGGAAATATGAAATGTTTTTTTCCCAAAACTGAAGTTCTATGTTCAAATAAGTGCAGGTGGCCTATGAGCTCTAACCACTATTCTCCGTTGCTTATTCATAGTCTCATAAGAAAGCAATTTAATTGTTTCTCAACTTATTTCTTTTTCCAGAAACATGGGGGTGGGAGGGGAGAGAGAAGTTTAACCTGATACTTAATTTTTGTGAACCTAGGCACCAGTAAAGAGTGATCTTGCTGGCACTTCTTGTAATCATAATTACTGGTGCTGGATTTATTATAACAGTCAAGAAACAATGATGTTGATTAGGAGCATTGAACTGAATGATTATATAAGAAAAAAAGAGATTACAGAAGATGTCAGAGAATGTGTGTGTCCTTTTCCCAACATCCCTCAAATAGTTGTCAAAAAAATCTAGTATAGTGCCAGTTTCTAAGATGTTGCAGCTCCTAAGATCATGCGTAGGCAAAATGGGCCTTTGTTATTGCCCAATTACCCTGAACATTTCTTTGGTCGGAGGAGGAGTGACTCCAGTAGCTCCGAAGATCATGTGGGAGCGAATCAGTTCGCTCCCGATGATCAGCTGCTGGGCCCACCCTGGCTCCATACCGACCTTTATTTCCTGCTTTTGATGCTCAGCTGCATCGTGCGGCACAGCGGATTGCCGCGGGTCAGCTGTTGAAGACACAGGAAGCGTGCAGGAGGTCAGTAGGAAAGGCTCTGCATGCGTGCAAAGTGCGTGTTTGCCATGCGTGCACGCAAAGCACACCCACCGAATTGTTGGTAAGACAATTTGAATCCCACCACTGCTCAGGGATGTAGAAAAAAACTATTTGCTCATATCATGAAACAGTGCCTTATGCAGTACTTGGCAGATAATGCTGGGTAGCACAGAACAAATCTTGGATGACTATGATTGTTGACTTCAGTTGCATGGTCAAGTTTCCATTTGCCCACCGAATGACTGCCTCTCTTTTCAATTTAGGAACCCATCTCCATATGGCCATGCCTTCACTTCCTGTCACAGTGATGATTGATTTGTTAGTTTAATATAAGACATGCAGATACAATATACTTCTCAGGCATCATCTTGGGATGTTTGCTATTTAGTATAGCCATACCAAAAATTCTGCAAAATGAATGGACATACTATACTATAGGTTAGGGAAGTGCTGTCATCTGCAGAAGGAAGAACCGATTTCAGGAAGTTATGTTCCTTCATCTTTATGTAAAAAAGAAAAAGAGGGTGTTTCTGGTTCAAGATGTTTCCTCTTGTTTATGTAGCCACTTTGACATCTAAATTTGGCATACTGTAACCCTTTAAGTAACTGCTAGACAATGACAAAATTACTGCATTGAAGAGCCAAACTACAGGTTGCTACTGCTCATGTCTGCCAACATGCAAATTAGCTTGTCATACACCTCATATAGAAATGTCCTGGAACTGATCACAATTAGTGTATAGATTTCATTTTTCTTTGTATTTCCAAAAGGACATGTATTTTGCCTTGTTTGCTTCATAATGATTTTAGTGTGGCAAAGAAATCCAAGACAGTTAATGAGATAAGATAGTTAAGGGAGATAATAAAGGATAACACTAATCCTTTATTATGTTTTAAATTATATAGAAGAATAACTTTTTAAATCCAGTGACCAAAACCAGCAAAGAATCTCACAACATTTTACATCCTGAAGGGTATTATAACATGAGGTCTCATGGACAAGAGAAAACTCTATTTCATTAGAAAGTATCTGCTTTGAGAAAAAAATGTATGCAAAAGATTATATAATATGTGCGCTCAGGAATATATCCTATTATTTTTATGGGAATTGATCATACAGAAAAGGAAGCAAGCATTCTGATAAAATTTATTAAAAAATGCACAACATAAAATGCAAATTAAATTTTAAAAAACTTTGGAACAGGATTCTGTCAAAAATGCATCTGAAATAAAATTTAGTTACCCCTTTAGCTCGACCCAGAAGATTTAGACTTACAATCATTACCAACCTCCCTCATTACCTGTCATATATGCCACTTTGTATAATTTTGAGAAAACAGATAAATAAACTATTCTTTATTTATCTTCCTAATATAAAAGAAATTAAATGTGTACATTTTTCTGTATTTTTGTAATATTAGATATGAATTTGTCATGAGTATTATATTCCTTCTTGTGGTTTAGGTGTAGGATTCCGCTATTTAAGAGCTTAGTGTTCTTGTACACCCATTCATCCACCAATTTTCTACAGTGATGATTTGAAAGTATAGATACAAAAAACAGCAGCATCTTTTTTCTGTATCACATTGAAGCCTGAAAAAAAGTTGCTTCAATGAATAAATAAACTTTGCATTTAGTAAATGCAAGATTCAAATTTCTTCTTCCAGCTCAATTAACATGTGGCGTACACCAGGCTGGATAAGGTTGGACTTTTGCATATATACAGCATAGTAAAAGTGTCACATCTAGATATTTTAGTAATGTATTAATTGAATATAAATAATTGTAATTATTTTTGGATTCATCTTGTCAATTTCATTCTAGGTTATTATAATAATAATACCAAAGTGGCAGTTAAAACTTTGAAACCTGGTACTATGTCCGTCCAAGCATTCATGGAAGAAGCTAACCTAATGAAAACACTTCAGCATGACAAGCTAGTCAGACTATACGCTGTAGTCACCAAAGAAGAACCTATTTACATTATAACAGAATTTATGGCAAAAGGTATGCATTATTGAATGTTATGTCAAAAATATTATTTATTGATAGTCATTAGATTTGAAATAGAGAGTCAATCTACATTAAATTCTGAATCTTGGCAGAATTGTTGGCTTTTCATCCTGGAAGTTGGCTCTTTTCTAGACAAAACTATCCTTCATAAATTAAAGTAAATTAAAGTTCACAATTTGCACTCATCCATAATGGTCCAAGTGACTAAACTTGTGGGTTAGTCAGTAAAGTATAATCTAAAATTGCATACTTTAGCGTAATCTGGAAAACCAGATGATCAGAATACTTGTTTTATTTGTATTTTTGCCAATAAACTTGCTTACTCCACACAGGAAGCTTACTGGATTTTCTGAAGAGTACAGAAGGGACAAAATTACTACTACCAAAGCTCATTGATTTCTCAGCTCAGGTAAACAAAACTAGATATAAATTAAAGAAGTCTTCTTGTTGCTATAGGAAAATAATAGATCTATGTGACTAGATTGAAGTGTATAAACTGTTACCAAATTATAAACCTGATTACAAGCATGTAAAAGTATCCCTTGAAAACCATAACTATGGTATATCAACGAAGCTAGTATTATTACAAAAACTTCAGTTTAATTATGAAGCACTAATTACTTATGTTTATAGAGCTTTCAACCATGTTGAATTGTTGTCTGGGCTCTTCTGATGTCATGGAATAAGTATTCATATTCTAACTTCAAGGAACAACATAGCAGGAAAAAGGTTTTTTTTTCCTGCTACAGAAGTTATTGCAGTCCTTAAGTGCTTACGATGACTGTTTAGTACTGCAAAAGAGAATACAAGAAACGTCAACTAGGTGTGAATCTGACTTCCCAAGAAGACTCATTGTTGTTCTCGCTTATAAACTTGAGAAAAGAGAATTCTAGACCTATAATGACTAATCATTGGATCATGAAAAATCATTAGGAACTAAATTTCTTTAGCCATGTAAATGCATTGCCCATTTAAGTTCAAGCCAATTTAGAAAAAGAAACAGAAACTGAGCTCCTTCCAACTAGTTTAGAAATCTTCAGGATTTGCATGAGTTTAAAACTAGGTTCATTTATGAGGATGGGCCCTGTTACTACTAGGAAGCAGATGCAGTGAAGCCAGAGCCATTGCAAATAAATTAGAAGAGCGGAAGAGAAATACACTGCATTTAGTAAATAGTTTTTCACTTTACCATCTTCCTCACTTTCTTTCTCATTAAATAAAATAGCAACTAGCCAGAATACATTACTATCCGATTAGATATTCACTTCAAAACCTAGCACAGTGGAACAATATATATAAAAATAGATCTAAATATTCATAACTTCAGATAGGTTTCAATTAAACCTATCTATTAAACCTATCCAGTATATACCCCAGGCCAGTATATACCCCAGGCCAGAATATACCCCAGATCAAAACACTAGATAACAGAATGCCTTCTAACAAGTATGCTTTGAACATGAACTTAATTTTCTGTTGTAAAATTTAGCCCAGACTAGTTTAACATCAACAACTTTTTATACTTCTATTTAAAATCGGGGTGTTTTTTTACTTTTCCCAGTGCAATGAATTATTTTATCTGGACATTCCGCTTTGCTTTCAAAAAGATTATAAATCATAATTTAAGTTTAAATTCATTTATTTTATTTATTTTAAACACGTATTTAATCTAAAGACTATTTCTCATATTTAAAAAAAGAATTCAGCAATTGTGACAGGAAAATGAGAAGCGTCACAAATATTTTTCCATTATCTGATCTCAAGAAGAGGAACAAGAAAAGAACAGTTTCTCTTTTTGCGTATACTTATGTGTTTTTAAAGAATGTACAGGCACCTATTTACAGTATTACAGTTTTTGAGTTGCTGAAATTCAGCTTCAACTTAACTGCAACTTCCAGTGAATACAGTGACTTTATTTATTCAAGTTCAAGTTTTTGTTTCAACCTTTCAGACTCTATAGGCTTGACTAATAAGTATATGCCAGATTCAGATAGTTTGGACCTATGTGGTACACATGCACTTAAAACAGTCTTGGAGTTCCCTACATATGTAGGCTGGAAAGACTGGAGGCATAAAGGGTGTACAGGTAGTCCTTGATTTACAACAGTTCATTTAGTGACCATTCAAAGTTACAAGAGTATAGTAAAAAGTGACTTACGACTGTTTTTCACAGTAACTTTTGCAGCATCCTCATAGTCACATGATCAAAATTCAAATGCCTGCCAGTTAGTTCATATTTATGACTGTTGTCAAGTCCCAAGGTCATGTGATCCTATTTTGCAAACTTCTGGTGAGCAGAGTCAATGGGGAAGCCAGATTCACTTAACAACTGTAGTGGTTTACTTAACCACTGTGGCAAGAAATGTCAAGGACTACCTGTATATATTTCTTGGGTATCCTATCTCAACCTTCTGGAAGGTTTTCACCAGAAGTTCAGATGGTGCCAGGTGCCATCTTTCGGAAAGACAGAATTTGTCCAAGGTCTGTTGAACCCCTAATGAATCCTTTACCAATTCTCACTGTGGCATTAGTAACCAAATGTATTGACATTATTTTTGCTTTATTCTTGACTTATGATATGTTGTTATAAAACAATACATTACAAATTGATCCTGATTCTACAGTACATCTGTTTAATAAATAAAATTAAGTGCCTTTCAAAGATTTGCAGTCCTAATAAATTTTAGAAAAGCAATTGCCATTAAAATAAAAGAATGTGTATTTTAAAAAATATAACTTAAATACCAGTTATTTAAATAGAACACAACTAGTGGCTTTGTCTCTATTGTTTGCAAAGCAATGGAAAATGTCATACTTGTATTTAAGCTGCTGGCCTATGGGTTGGAAACAGATCCAAATATAACTTTTAGACAAATTTTACAAAATATTGCTTAAATAATCACCACTTTTTAACAAAAGGTTATAAATTTTTACAAGTATTCTTCAGATACAAATAAAAGGAGATATTAGGCTTGTATATAAAACTGATGTACTAAAATAGAACACAAACTATTGTTAATGAGTTATTTTTACATATTTTTGAACATATAAGCAACACAGTAGAAAAATTAAAACCTTTTTATCTCTTCTTGCAGATTGCAGAGGGGATGGCATATATTGAAAGAAAAAATTACATACATCGGGATCTTAGAGCAGCAAATGTTTTAGTTTCAGATGCACTTATGTGTAAAATTGCTGATTTTGGCCTTGCAAGAGTTATTGAAGATAATGAATACACAGCCAGGGAAGGTTTGTACTGTTTTTTAAATTTTAATATATTTAATGATGGGGCAGATTTTTATCAGTGGTCACTTAGATGTTTCTAATCAATAAAGTATAATAAATTATACTTTTAATATATTTAATGTATTAAATTTAATATATTGAACAATGTGTCATTTTCCATAGGACAAACAATGCAGTAGGTAGGGGCTGTGGGGAGACATATAATGCATTTCTCTGAAAGAGAGATTTGGGCAGCAACCTGGAATTTTGACAATTCCTCCATTCTAAGGCCCCCTCCCTCTTAGTTGCACAATTCAGAGCAAAGATTATATACCCAACCTGAATTTCCTGTGTCATAATCACACAAGTGGACGAAACACATTACTTCATTACATTCACAATATGGAGACCACTGCTGGAAAAGGGGTAGGAAGAATTCCAGATGCCAAGATCTGCATGCTTTCCTTTTTTGTTCTCTGTTCATGAAGGACAATTATGGTAAGGCAGGGGATGAGGAAGAAAATAGGTTTTCATGTTTTCCTAGAAGTCATTACCCAGTCACTTCACAATTCTTTCCAATTTCTTAACTACCTTCACTTTTCAATGTCTAGATTTAAGATGGAATTATTTGTACTTCTCTAGGTGCAAAGTTCCCTATCAAATGGACAGCACCAGAAGCCATTAACTATGGTTCTTTTACTATTAAATCAGACGTGTGGTCCTTTGGAGTTCTTCTGTATGAAATAATTACTTATGGAAAAATTCCTTATCCAGGTTTGTGCTTCTTCCTATGTACAGTATTGTTTTGTTTTGTTTTTACTATATAGAGAAGTATCACAGTCAATCAAAGGTATGTGTTGAACATAGTTATTTGGTGAAAAGGTAAAAGAAAAAGATGGTAGGAAAGTATGACTGCAGCTACATCAGGTGGAACAGTGTTTTATTATTCAAGCCATAATAAAACACCAGTACAACCCACAAGTAAAGTTACGTAACTAAAGTTCAGCAATTTAGGTTACTTCACTAGTTGCATCTTTTGCTAGACAATGGAAGTGTAAATCTGATTATTCTTGGATAATGGAATAAATTGCTCCTATTGTTGTGGGCAAAGGTGAAAATATTTGCTTTGGCCCATTACTGCCATTGCTAACTGGATGAGGAAAACCAATTGCAATACTCAGAGGCCAAAACAATTGAGGTTTGGTCCTACTCATTCCCAGGTTACAAGGAACATTTATTAACTGAGTACACAATGGCAAGATTTTTCTTCAAAGCTTAGAAATAAGAAATGTAGATTAGGCTTTTGGAAAACAACATGCCCCTTTTTGTGTTTTGAAGTTTTTATTCATTTTCACAAATAATTTATTTAGGTTAAAGAAATCTACCTAAATATTGCATTTCTCCAGGAAGCAAATCCTGCCCATTTTGTGAATAAAATGGATATAAGCACATGATTTACCGTATTTGCCGGCGTATAAGATGACTTTTTTGCCCTGAAAAACATGCCTCCAAGTGGGGGGGTCGTCTTATACGCCGGGAGGACTCCGACTCCCACTTCGAGCTTGAGTTGCAGCCGGGAGGGAGGCTGGGGGGGGAGCGGTGTGTGTGTGTGTGTGTGTGTGTGTGTGTGGCGGGTGTCACTCGCCACGCGCTGCGCAACCTTTCCCCCTCTTCCTTCCTTAGCGGTGTGGGGAGGAGGGGATTCGAAGATCCTCACGTGCGGCATACTTTTCTTTTTCTTTTTTTCTTTTTGTACGCAGGTTTTGCGTGCGGGCGGCTGTAGGTTAAGGATGGGGGAGCCCCCGGGTGGGTTATCAGGTTTTACTGTGCTTCCAACATGTGCGAACGGTGGGAGAGCGGAGAAGAGAGCGAGCGAGCGCCCCGCTGTGTGAAATCCTGCCGTCAAAGCAACACTGGGGGAGGCAGGGTATAAATTTACCAGGTTAATGTAGCAATGGTGATTAATGCCCAGAACATTGTTTGCGGGTATTGGGGTGTGTGTGTGTGTGTGGTGGTGGTGAGGAGAGGTTGTCCTTTTAATGCGGAAAAGTAGGTGTGACCTTGTGTAGGAAAATAAAGAGATCCTTTTTAGCGTGTTTGGCTTCTTTGCCTCCCCTCGTTCGGTTTGACGTGGAGATAATGGCCTTCGGGCGGGAGGGGAAGAAAACGGTAGCTGGATCATTTCAAATTTCACTTACTCTCCTGCCTCACTTCAATATGTCTGAGCGACTCCAGATACTGGAAGACTTTTTGAATGAAAGTGTTACCTCCATTTTTTTTTTTAAAGAGGGCCACTTGGGGAAAAAAAAAGATTCTAAGGAATTCCTTGTTTCTTGATTAAAGAGAAGGCATTGAATATAATGTTCCTTGGCAGCCTTTTCAGTGTCCGGGTTTTTGGTGTGTGTGTGTGTGTGTGTGAGAGAGAGAGAGAGAGAGAGATCGAGAGAGAGAGAGAGAGAGAGATCAGCTGTATTGAGAAGAGAACGTTTCCTGTGTTCTCATTTTATTTACAACATATTTTACGCTTAATGGTAAGCAATGAAAAATATTTTTAAAACTCATTTCTAAACTCCATAGCTATTTGCATATTCTTGGTTCAAAATTGGATTAGCTCATTTCAAAATTGTCCAAAGCAGAAAAGTGCGTCAAAAAAAAAAAAAGTGCAAAAGTGGAAGGTGTGTGGAAGAGGGGGTAGTCTTATACGGCGAGTATATAACAAACTATATTTTGAGTGGAAATGTTGGGGGGTCGTCTTATACGCCCAGTCGTCTTATACGCCGGCAAATACGGTACCTTAGAAATGTATATTTTCCTTTTCTAAATCAGCTCTTCTCGTACCAACCATATTAAAAATAACTTTTACTTTTTAAAAAAATTATTTCAGGTATGAGTAATTCCGATGTAATGGCAGCCCTTCAACGTGGTTATCGCATGCCATGCATGGAATCTTGCCCCTCTGAGCTTTATGATATTATGAAAACGTGCTGGAAAAATAAAGCAGAAGAGAGACCAACATTTGAATATTTACAAAGTGTCCTTGATGATTTCTACACAGCTACTGAAGGACAGTATCAGCAGCAACCATAGAAAAAAAGAATTGTTGCTCTTCATTTCCAAATGGCAGGGACCTTTTAATAAGACAATGTGATTGAGCCAATTCTTTTATACTTACACACATACATGTGTTGGGATACCCTAATTGTTTTGTGGTACTCAAAATTGAAAGCTAGAACTCAAGTGGGCAAGACAGATTATCAACATCTTGCTGAAGGCTTAGAAGTTTTTCTTCTTCACTGATGCTTTCTTTGTATTTATATTAAGTAAACAACTAGTTGAAATGAATTATGATATAACAGATCATCATTCTCTGTAAAAAATCCTGGTGCAAAATCAAAACTCCATGAAGGAAATCAACACTTATTCCAAATAACCCTGTGCAACATGTATCTGGAAAAAAAATATTAGTTTTACGGCTGAGCTAGAAGTTATATGAGCTGCTGCATTTTGTTTACTGAAAAGCTGCAAAAGTTTGGAGGGAATCCCTTTATCATTCTACCATTTCTTTGCAAAAAAAAAAAATGTTTTTGTAAAAATCTATTCTCTAAGCATGGCTGAAAATTTCCCTTTAAAGGTATCCTTCAAAAATGGGTAGTATGAAATATGCTGGAATTGAAAAGAAAATATCACTTTAGAATAATATTTTGTGTTTTTCTGGAATTCAACAGCTATTTTCCATTCCTATTTTTTCCCCCTCTGATTATGTCATTTTATTAACTGTGTTTAGGGAAAAAGCCAATTAAAATGTTTAGCTTTAGAAATACAATTGCATATCGCAACTAAAAGTAGTATGTTTTGGCACACACAAATTATATGGTGAAAAATAATTGAACACATTTTAAGTAAGAGTCCTAGAACACAATTCATAGAAAACAATATGTCTTCCAAAGACACAATACTGTGCATCAGGATTTTAGTAATGCTACACCACCATCATCCCATGCACACATGTCCTGTATAATATATTGGGAGGACAGTGTTTTGGGTGAATCTTCTGAAATGCTTTTCACCACTCCATTATTATCAGAACACAATGATTATACCTATGCTCAGTAGTGCTGGTCAATACTGTTATACTTTTAATGAAGAAATTTATTTGGTAGACTGGTAATCGGACTGTCAACTTGTAAATACAATTTCAATGTTTTTGTGATTTTAATAAATAAGCATTATTGAAAATCTGAACCAATATAAGGTCAATTTCTTATTCCTTATTACAATAATGGACAGCTTCTTTAACAAATTAATTCTCCTGGATTTACATCTCTGTTCCAGAATATGATCCATTATGCTGGAGTTTGAATACATCAAATAGTCCTAGTTAGCTGGTCAGTGATAAAGGATGCTAGAAATTGCCCTTAGACAATATCTGGAATATCACAAATTTCCATTTTTCCTGTAATGTATCTTCTCTTATAATTATTACAGGATATGCTCTGTTACATCAATTTATTAAATTATCATAAATTAAATATTTCCATAAAATGTCTTTTCTAGCTCTTATGGTATTTTTTGTTTCCTTGGAATTTTTAAAATATATTCTACCATGGACCAATAAATCTAGATTTTTTTAGAAACCAATATGAATTTTTGAACAAATAATAACTGCAGAGAATGAAAGCACCTCACTCATATATACCCCATATACTTCTGACAGCTTCTACAAAATACCAGTCTTCTTTTACTAATTAAATGTATAAAGTTATGCAAATTTTATGTCTTTAGAATTCTCTATGTTTTATTGCACTTATATGGGAAGGGAAAAATTACAGATTTTGAACATGTACAAAAGAAATATAATAATTTATTAGTGTCAAACAATTAGTCATAATAGTATCAAAATATAAACAATATGTCGGTTATTAAAATTGTTGTCCTGGCTGAATTCCTGGGAAGTAAAAGAACAGAAGTAATCTTTGTACATTTTCACAATCGTTATAAACCTAAACTATGTGAATGTTAAGATCTAAATATTATATGCACTGTTACAATTAAAAAATATGTTTACAAAAGAGGAAAATGGGAATATAGGAATTTTAGAAGATTTTAATGTAAATATTATTTAGCATGCTTCCCTCATCCACAAGATATATTGGTAGAATAACTTTTCCTGACACAACAGCAAATTCTGTGGGTTGTAATCCCACCATCAGGAAAATGGCAAATTTGGCACCAAGATAAAAAATGCAATTTGTTTCAAGTGAATTCTTTTATGCCCATATTATCATGAACAAAATATAGGACAATTTATTCCTTTCAGATTAAGTTTATATCTCTATGGTTTCCAATTTTATAAATTTTGATTTAGTATGTCCTGATCAATATTGTTTTATGTGCTACTGACATCAATTTGGGTGATGCAGAAAGTGACTTCTCAGGTTTTTGCAGTTTTTACTTTTCAATGTCTTAGGAACATCTGTTACTAATATTTCAGACTTGCAAAGAAGCCCTTTTTTGATTTATGTTGCTTAATACTTTCTGCACTTAATAGACCTTTGCTTTCTTTTAATTCTTCTTGTAGGTGAGATAATGTGGCATCAGGTTCATGGTCACATTTAGGCCTATTTTGAAGGCCAATGGTTTCTTGTTCCTATGAAAGCAAGATTTGTTTAAATAGAATTAAAACATTGTCTTTTTAATCCTACTGCCCTAGCTTCTTCCGAAACTGCACATCCTAACTAAATGATTTTTCCCCTAAAAATATGGGAAAGAGACACTCCAACATTGCTGTCTTCTCTCAGTCTAGCGCAGGGGTCCACAAACTTGGCAACTTTAAGGCTGGCTGGGGAATTCTGGGAGTTGAAGTCGACAAGTCTTAATGTCGCCAAGTTTGGAAGTCCCTGGTCTAGTGCTTAATTGTAAAGTAGTCATGGTAAGCAAAGTAAATAGAATTTGGATATTCAATTTCACATGGTTGTTCAAGGTTCTGAAAAGGCACCACAGCCATTTCCAAAAAGTATTAATAACCACCAGGATTTATTCATATCAGAGTAAACAGAGTGCAATTCCATTTAGTGTCTTCTATTGGAGTTGCTTAGATAGTGAGATGGGATGCGTATTCATTTAATAAATGAGTAAAATTATAAATGGTCTTTAACAATCACTCATTCAATGTCTGTTCAAACTTGAAACGATTCTGTATGAATGGCAGTTATGATGAGATTTTGGACTTATGGACATCAGAGCATAAATCGTGGTTATGTGATTTATGACTTTTCTAACAGCTTCCCACAAGAAAAATCAAAGGGGAAGCTGGCAGAAAGTTGGAAGTTGCAGTCCCATGAGGGTAAGGTTCTTACTTAACAACACACAGTCCTTGCTTAACAATGGCAACCAAGACCGCTGAAACTGCTGGCTCTAAGTCATGCATTTTTGGACTTTCAATCCCATCACTTAAAATGAAGTTTCCACTCTCAATTAGCATTGTTAAGTGAGAATTACCTGTATTCACAATTACCTTTTAACTGAAAAAGCAAAATCACAGTGAAGAAGCTAAAATGATTTTAAATAAGGCCAAGAGCACAGAAGAAGCCTTTGAAAAGCATATCTCAGCATATTAGAGTCTTGTAGCAGAACACATATCTCTAACTACATATTAAATAGATATGTGACCAACTTTAAGCCTTACCATCTGCTTTAATGTGGTGTTCTCAACTATTTTTCTATATTCTTCTTTGGCATCTTGCAACATTTCATTTAACTTCTGAATTTTCAATTTCAGTGATTTTATTAACTGCAAAACAAAGTGTTTGAAAGTAATGAGAATAATGCTATAATCAACTGCCAACTTATGGTCTTTCATCATACTACATGAAACTATTAAAATCTGGATAAAATATAAAATCTGGATAAGTTAGGAATACAATATTCTAATATGCTGGCAAATGTTGTGAGTCGTATCCAATCCACTGGGGAAAAAGCCAGTTGGAAAAGCAAATTTAACTTAGTTACAACTTGCTTCAAAAGAATCCTTGACCTTCTTCATTTTCTTCCAACACTTGAACATTATATATGAAACAGGGCTTTAATAAACTTCTCTAGAAGTTATTGTTGAAATGCCTATTTCAGCTTCTGTCCTATTTCTTTGCTTTTCTTTTGTATCCATCTTAAAATTCTAAGCCTGCAGGTAAGGCAATGACTGCAAAAAAAGTTGTGTAGCTGGTCTCTTGATGACTGTCCATGTGTCAGAATTCCTCTAGAGCCAACAACTGCAGATTTTGTGATTGAAGCTGCACCTTCAGTGAATAGCTGAATTATAATATAGCAAATATGTAAAGTCTAAGTTCAGTGAGTCAGTTCACTTCATCCTCAAACCAAACAACTTTGGAAAGGTTGCTGTCGCACTGGGACAAGATCCATAGTTAATTTTACACACCGTTGCAATCATTTCATATGTTCATGAAATACTCAAATTAATGCTCAAGACTTGTCCTATCTTTCAAGATATGCAAACGTGTTTAATTATAATTATATACTTATAATTATATATAAATTATATACACTGAAATTGTGTTTTAAATGTTTTTTTCTGGAACTATGCATCAATTTAATTGTTTTTCTATTTTTCCTTTTCAATATTTTTACAATTTTTTTTTACTGCTATATATATTTTAATCTATATAGAGAATGATTATGATAATGTGCATTTTAGATTACAAATTGCTATTAGTAGTCTTTTTAAAATAAACAAAGTTACCTCATCTCTCTGTAAAGCACCTGAAGTTTCTTCCATCATCTTGCATTGAGCATCTGTGAACACCAAACAAGGGTAAGAATACTTGACCTGCATTGTAAATTATAGGCAAGCTTAGGACACGGATTTCTTACCTAGATTCCATTCTGTAGAGTTTGAACCGGGAATTTCCAAAGGCAGACTATTTTGCTCTCCAAGTTTTAGTTTCAGCTCTAGTATTTTCATTTCTCTTTCCTGAGCAATAATATTCTATAATAGTTTAGGGCTTCATACAAATCACAACAGTTTTAGAAGTGCAAGAAAAATCATTTTGAATGTTGCTTTAACATGATTCTTCTTCATCCCTCCTCCAAAAAAATGTTATTTAAATGATAATTCAAAACCTATTTCCTTAATCAAAATGAAACTTTCTAAAAAGCACAAAAAGCCATTTTTTTGCTTCATGCTTCATTCTGTTTTGGCTTACTGGTATTGAATGAATAAATAATTTTATTTCTAAAAGTTTTTTATACTTCTGCTCGTGTAAGCAGAGATTTTATGAAGTTATGCGGCCTTGTAAACATGACAAATGTGACAACAATCAACAAACAAGCCATTCAGTGTACTCTGAGATCTACAGTATTTTCATTATTTACATTTACCAAACTATACTTTGGGATAGAAATCCTGGAGATAACTATACAAAAATGTCAAAATCTACAATAGGTTAAATCCAGGCATACCTGAACCTTTTCTTGTTCAGCTATGAATTCGTTTATTGGAACATAGCGTTCTTCAACTTGATCCATTGCACATGTATATGCATGCTTCTTTATGGCATCTTTATACATTACAAATTTATTTTCCAGTTTTTCTTCATAACTTTCTTTCAAGTCTTCTAAGCGTTTACTGGATCAACAATGTGTAACAACCAGAACACAGAGAACTTTTTAGTATTTAATTATTGCTAAATTCAATTCCTTGCTCTGTTACTTTGATTTCAACTGGTAACCATTGACAATAATCAATATAATGCTAACTAGTTTCAGGTATCAGCTGTTTGGTATTTCCTTTTACATATGAGCTTGCTCAGAACTTTCCATATCTGGATCAGGATACCGATGTAAGCTTAATACAAGAAGTGCGTGTTCATATTCAACTATTCCCCACTTCTCAGATAATGCATCTATAAAGGAGACTGTAGCTCAGGGTTGAAATGAAGGGTCCTTGGTGCTCTCTGAGTTTTGTTTTCTTACAGACATTTCATTACCTAAACAAGGTAACATCATCAGTGTCAGTTCAGTGAGTCCCAAGGACCCATAATGCATCTATCTTATTCCCCCACTAGTAAATAGAAAGAATCATCTTCATCAATCCACTTGCCTTGTCAGGTCATTTTAGCTTTGCTTGAAATACTTCACAAAGTAAAAAGAAAAATTGCCTTCAAGTTAAACTCAGTTCCTGAGGAATTACATAAGCAAATTCATGCATTATTCTAGGCACAATACAGAATGAATGAATGAATGCTTTATTGGCCAAGTGTGATTAGACACACAAAGAATTTGTCTTGGTGCATATGCTCCCAGTGTACATAAAAAGAAAAAATACATTCAAAATGATTTGCCATTCCATCTCCTTATTCTGAGTGTTGGTTTGTTATTTGTTATTTCTGATTCTCCATTCTACCCTGAAAGCATGGATTTTCCAGTTGGTTCCTCCATCCAGGCCCTAACAAGGTCTAACTTATTTAACTTAGCAAAAGTTGCCTGGCTTTCGCCATCAGCTATGAGAACATTATGCCTATTGATGTTTTTATTTAGCTAGTTATATCTTGACACTTACTATACCTCTGATAATTCTATCAAGGGAAATCTTAAATAACCTGGAATAACCAGAAAGCAGAAAAGATACTGTAAGGCTAGTTTGACTCATTATCAAATCCATTAACAAGAGCTGTTAGTGAATTCCTCTCTCCCTCCATTGAAGATGTAAACACCAAGAGCACTGATTCTGCAGCACCTTGTGACTTATCGATCATAGGACAATACGGTATAACTAGACCTGTGTCAACCTTGGCAACTTTAATGTGCATGAACTTCAACTCCCAGAATTTTACAGCCAGCCATGCTAGTTAGGGAATTCTGGGAGTTTAATTTTTATTTATTTATTTATTTATTTTATTTGTCAATAACTTACAAGATAATAAACATAAGTATAAATAGAGGAAATGGGTATGAATAATTGGGAACAATAGAACAGGGATGGGAAGCACGATCGTGCGCTTATGCACGCTTATGTGGAGTTGACATCCACACATCTTAAAGTTGCCAAGGTTGACAAACACTGAGCTAGAGAGTTAAGAATTTTCTGCACTGTGTCCAAATTATTGTTAGTTTGAGATTACTTATCTCTATCTTGTTTTCTTCCAGGCATGAGCTCTTGGACTCTCCTAGTATAGTATCTTGCTAGGTGATTAGCATTGCTTGTATTGTATTTCTTGTAAACAAATATCCTTTCTGTTATAATTCTCACTTTCAGGAATTCTCTCATACACAGAATGCTTTGCATTCGAGTATCCACTTCTGTCTTTGTTTAATGGTATTTCCACTGAATATGAGTGTTTTCGTAAACAGCAGAATTCCTTCTGATGTAATACTTCATAAAACATAAATGGTGTACAAAGCCTTGATCTAATAGTCCCTTCCAAATAAACATACATGAATTAGCCATGTATTTTAGCTTTCTAAAGATGGAATGACCTTATTGATAGTTAGTTGGATAGAATATGGAAATGAAATAACGTAATAAAATTAGAAGTTCTAATCTCATAAAATACTCCACAAGATTACCAACGTTTTCTGTGTGTTATAGAAGGATAGAAGTGTTCAAAAGACTTGGAAATGATGTGGAGCAGCCACAACAATTGCCATAAAGTTTTAATTTTAATAAAACAAAATGCAAATAAGTTTGAAGCTAATTCTTTGGAAGTAACTTAGATAGCTGCTACACAAAAATAAGGTAGATGAAGTGTCTAACTTTGCTGCAGTTCATATTCATAACTTGATGTCTTTTTATGCGACTGCTGATTCATTTGGCTGCCCTTGGAATGGGACAGGAAGATGACTTTTGTCAGTCCTACCAATATAACTTTCTATGGCATACCTCCAAGCTTCTTCTGTTTCCATAAGTTGCTGAAACATTGCTTTGGCCATCTCTTTGCGTATTTCGACTTCAAGAAGTAATTTGCTTTGTTTCTCGGCAATCAGTTTACTCTTTAGCATCTCTGTGGTTTTCAAGAGATCCTATAATACCAACATGAATCACATATAGAAACATGAAAAAAATGGAAGTGATATAGTACATCATGCACAAAGAAGTCAAACCTAATATTGGAAATTCACTAGCCAGAAGGCTTATTCTTAGATGTTTTATCTCAGGTTGAGCAGTACTACTAAAAATGGCCCAATGTATTTCACATGTGAACTGAATTGATTTTAAAATTTATTCTACTAAAAGCTTAGCCTAATTAAGTATGTTATATTTTGTTGAAATAAATGGAAAAATTATTACCATTGTACTGGTAGTTGAACTGGTTACTAATGCTATAACTGTTCATGCAGAAGTCAGACGGTGAGTTCTCAACTAAGAATGGATATTGCATAGGACCGCAGGAATAAAAATATACAGTGTACCAGTGACTCCTTCTGTTTTACTGCAAGTTTGCAGATGTTTCAGAATGAAACTGCAGGCAAGGAACATAATGCTGAAATTCCTGCCATTCTCATTTGGTTTCTGAAATTCATTAGTGGTGATGAGCAATTGAATATTTTTAAAGTCTTTATTCTGGATATTGAATTTCAGAAAGGAAATATATGGGAGAAGAGGTCTAAATCTATCATATGCACCCACTCCAGTCTGAATTACAAGCTTGTGTAAAAGATGCAGTCTCCTTTAATTATATTTGTAGTTCTTTAGAGAGGTTCCTAGATAATAGAAAGCTATTCTATCTTCTAAAAAAAAATCAGGTACTTCAAGAGAATGACGCCTAAATCAGTGGCTTTTATTGCAAGATGATCAACTTTTTCTGCTTTTTTCTGACTTTATTTCTACTTTCACGTTTACTAAATTTACTACTAGGTCTATGACACGATCAACATGTAGTCTGAGTTTACTTATCAACTTTTCCAGTTCTTTTGCAAATGCACAAACCACATCTAACAGCTTTGAGTTGGAAAAGTTATGGGTTCCTTCATTTCACCATGCCATAAGACATTTGGTACATGAATTAAACCATTTTAGATTTACATATTGTACCTTATGGTTTACAACTTTGTTTTCCAACCAGCTATAATTTACACAACAAATTTTTGTCAAACAAAGCACAATGATCTTTTTTTCACTGAACATACTGTATTGTAAGGAATTGGTTTTTGACTACCTCGTGGCTCAGAATAGTAATATCTATTTCCTCATCTTCAGAGGAAGAGGGAATGTTGGCATAAGTGGGAAATTGCTCAATTGATGCATCATCAAAATGCACTGTAGGTTTATCTTCTCTTCTGCTGTACTTTGGAGGAAAATAATCGAAGAGTTTGTGTTGAAATGTTGGAATAACCTAAAACACACACACACAAAACACATTTTAAGATTGATTAAAATGGTAAGATCATTGATTTTATTTTGTTTTTTGTCTACTTTCTTTGGAAAACTATCAGAGAAATTCTATTAACTTAAGGGAAAAAGCTTTTAGTTTACCATCAAAAGGTAATTTAATGATGGAAGGCTGGAGATTGTGCTAGTATAAAAATAGATACCTCTAGCTATTTTTACTAGCTCTTACTAGTTGTTGTTTTTTGACTAGCTTTAGTAGTAACTCAAGATGCAGTGGTAAACCTAGTAGTCAGTTTGATTAATTTTTGGAAACAAAGGCAGTTCTCAGCAGTAAATACTCATTCACAGTAAATCTATGTACCCTGTCACTCAAAGTTAAACTTTCATCACAAATGCATAATTTTTTATTTATGCATAATTTTATTTTATTATATAGAATGAGGGAATATCTGTTCCATCCTATTTGGAAATTGGACATGCAGTCTGAGGCTGGAGAAAACTGGACCCCAACATTTGAGAATCTATAAAGTCACACCTCTTATGTATACTTTCTATTGGAAAAATCACTAACAGCAGCTTCAACAATTGAATACTATTGTTCTCACACAAAAAGCAATTAAATGTGTGGTGTGTAGTGTAGCATCAAAGAAGAAAGAAGTGAGTAAAGTCCGCTTTTCAATTCAGACAAGATAAGCTTCCATAGAAAACAAATCAATTAATATGGCAAAAGTGGTAGCACAAGATATGTGAGTATTGTGAAGGATATAGCATCTTTCTTACTTGTTTTGCTACAGCAGAAAACTTCATTACATGAAGTGTTTCATCATATGTGGAAGCACATTGACTAACGTTGACAATCATGCAGGCTTTGCCTTTACCACAGAAAAATGGTTGGAAGAGGCGAGTCAGTTTGCTCTCTCGGAAAGGAATATAAGTTGGCCTTAATCTTGGAGTAAAAATTATATAAATGTTAACTTCAGAATCAGGATAATTTGTAAAATCCAAAGATGTAAGGTAAGAGTGAGAGAAAAGGAGAGATAAACATTTTTTTGCATAACAATTGAAAAGTGTGGTCTTTGAGAAATATACTGGCAAACAAAACAATTTGGTAAGTGTACAATAAACTGTTAAAAAAAAACACCCCTGAAATATGATACAGATTTTGTATTTTTGTTATCTGCTGCAGTAAATGTCAGTGTATATAGTTCATGCAGGGGTGGGATTCAACCAATGTTATTACCGGTTTGGTGACTAGTTTTGCTTTGCTGCGCATGCGTGTAAAAAAAAAAAATCAGCTGTGCCGCCCGGACAGTTGAAAAGTGCTGTGCGCGGATGTGCAGCATTTGAAAAACCTTTTTTTTCCTGCTTTTTCAACCTCAGCTGTGCTGTGCAAAGCAGCTGAGGTTGAAAAAGCAGGAAATAAAGGACAGGTAAGAGCCCAGGTGGGCAGGTGGGCCAAACAGCAGCAAACACAGTGTCTGCTGATCTTCAGAGCTACCAGTTCTATAGAACCGGGCAGAGCCGTTAGCATCCCATCCCTGAGTTCATGAACTGGAATAGACATGGCAACAGGTCAGCCAATGGGGACTGTTTGAATAAACATGGCATCAGGTCAGCCAATGGGGGCTGTTTGAATACTGAAACATAGTATTTGTTTGTATGGGGCCATAAGAGACAGTTTGGAATCTGGACGTGGCTTTGACTTATTGAACTGTATATAAGAGTTGATTTGTCCTCTGTAACCTAGGCCTCTGTAAATCTAGGCCTCTATATTTCTCTACTCTGTAATGACTTGCTTCTGTGAATATTGCTTCTGTGTTCCTGATTTTGTATGCTGACTTCTGCTATATGGTATTGTATATAAAGAAATTTTTCTTATGTGGATGAATCCTGTAGAATTATTTACCTGTGTCCTGGGCAGGGAAACTCTGACCGTAAACAGTTGTATTATGTCATGCTATCACAATAGATTGTTTTAACTATCTTTTCATATTATTTGACATTATTAATACATTAGTTTTAAATTGAAGTTGTACCAAGGTTTATCTATATTACTTACTTTGTGTTTTGATTTTGTTTTAGAGCTGCAATGCATTTTCCAAGAATAAGAAGAGAATTATTAATATTGCCAGCTTCTTTCAGTCTGTCTCCAAAGGTTTGAGCTTTATGGCATCTTTCTGAACCAGCCAGGTCACAGAGAGAAAGTCTGTACAAATCAACACATACATCTGATTTCTTTTGATCTTACACTTGTTTAAATAAATGAAAGCAACTGTTTTCATTAAGATAGCTAAACTGTAAGGCTGTAATTATGAAAATGAATTCACTCTTAGCTATTATGGTACAATTCTGTAGCAAACAAATATATGCACATAGTGATTAATGGCCTTATTGCTACTTGTCTGGACTACTGCAATGTAATCCACATGAAATTGCCTTTGAAGACAATCCAGAAACTGTACTGGAGTTAAAATGCAGCAGTCTGGTCATTGGTAGATGCCTGCTACTTCTTTTAGATACTTTCAGCATCTAAAAGCTGTATTGTGAATCTTACATTGCCTGCCAGTAAGTTCTAGGTACACTCAAAAGTGCTTATTTTAACCTATACAACTTTGTATCACTTATGTTTAGATACCAGCAGGAGTACCTTCTCCAACTAGATGCAAACTGTCGAATGCATTTTTTCCTGAGAAAAACTACTGGTATCATCACACTTCGATGAAGTGAGTATGGCTGAGGCTAGCATAGCATAGCATAGCATAGCATAGCATAGCATAGCATAGCATAGCATAGCATAGCATAGCATAGCACAGCATAGAATAGAATTCCTTATTGGCCAAGTGTGATTGGACACACAAAGAATTTGTCTTGGTGCATATGCTCTCAGTGTATGTTAAAGAAAAGATACATTTGTCAAGAGTCAAGAATCATAAGGTACAATACTTAATAATAGTCATAGGCCAGGATCCCCCCTCCCGTTATAGCCCTAGACTTTGAATCTTTGTTTGAAAGTAAGGCTAATTCCTTCTTCAGTTACTTTGCAGAATTTAGTTAAAACAAAGATCTTCTGAAAGGAAGTTTGGAACTAATGGGATGTTCTCAACTATTTCTACTGTATATGGTTTTTTTGTTGTTGTTACTGTAAGTCTTAGAAATTTGACATCATACAAATACAACCAATCAGTTAATCTACATTACTGTACTCTATCATTAGTGAAGTGACACTTACTCAGAGATTCCAAGAGTACATGGCACATCTTCATCACTCAAACTGAGGAGTCGAATAGAAAATATACTATGACTAGAAAAAAAACAGATATGTTGTGTTCTAATCTTTGTCAAGAATTTTAATATTTCATTGTGGCATATGAATAGCATAACTATTATTAGTTTGGAAAAGTATTTGAGTAAACTAGTGGACTGTCCTAGTAAACTAGTAAACTGGTGGATTGCCCTAGTGGACAACCACTTAAATATGAGACAACACTGCACTGTGCTGCAGCTGGCAAAAAAGCCAAAAGTCCTAGGCTGCATTAACAGAGGAATATAATCAAAATCACATGAGATGCTAATACCACTTCATAATACTTCACAGAGGAAAACTGAAATCTGCCAACAACTGTGGGTGGAAGGATTTTTTTTTTTTTTTTGCAGTTCTTTAGTGTAAGCTGTAGTCAATCTTGTGTGCATACCTTCTTCATTCCTTTTTCATCATACCAGTTATTATACTTTGCATGCAATGTCATTAGCTCAAGAAGGAAGAGTAAAACTAATTTAAAGGAAGCAAACCTTCGGCTGGATTGCTGGTTCATCTTGGTGCATGCTAAGCTTCTATTCTTATTTCCTATTTTAAGTATTTTACAAGCCTCTTCTGAATTTGATACATTGACCCATTTTAAATCTGGGAAAGAAGATAACATTAGCATGAATTAAAAATGAAACTATAGCTCTATTTATTCACTGTGAAGATATAACAACTTGTTGCTTCTTTGCAGTGCATACATGACTACATGACTATTCAGAAAGTACATACATATACTATACATACATGACTATTCAGAAAGTATTCCTGTTGAGTTCAAACTCACCCTGCTTTTGAATATAGTGGATAAGAAAATAGACACACGTTTCTTTTTTATTCACAGAAAACTTAAACAGAATAAAAAGATGACACAAGATGAATAAAAGAGAATAAAGTGATGACATAAGATAGGGTTTTGACTTCTTATGAAGCTGAGAATCAGTATAAAAGGCACATTTTACTGCCCAGAGTTATCCCACTGTTTTTGAGTTGAAATTTCACCCTAATTTTTGTGACAGATTTCTATTTATAAAATAATATTTGAATTCTGGCCTGAGTTACATATACGTAACAAGAAGCCTACACATTAAATAAAGCTGATGTTAAGATTAACCAAAAAAATCAGCAAATGTGATTATTAACAAAAAAATATAACACTGTTTTATAGGTTATAGAACAACCAATTTATTATGCACTCTTATCCAAGCTGTAACTTGGAAACCAGCAGAAGTTAATACAGCTGTCATCTTCTATTATGAAAAAGGATTTTCATTAAATAAGAGACCTTAAACTAGGTTACTTGCATTTGAAAAAGTAACAAACTTTGTATGAAACTAAGCCTTTGTTTACTGCAATAAGTATTTTCTGAATTTACCTAAGAGGAGAAATAGATTTCATCTGCTATTGCAAAAATTGCTTATGCTTTTAGTGCTGGACAATATCCCAAGAACTAACAACTGGGCTACCAAAATAATCATTGAAACTTATGTTAGACCCAGGAATTATCTAGCTAGATGAATAACAAT